ACAGATTCCTTCTCCATAACCACAAATCCTTCTTTTGGAACAACCATTGCCATTTTCTCTATCTGTCTCTGTTGATTTTATAATCAGAGACAGGAGATTCCAAAAAGGGCAAAAACAGAATATTCAATTAAGCATTCATTATTAGAACAAAAAGAACAGGAAAAAAACAAAACTTTTCAGATTATGAAGAAACCTAAAAGGAATTAAAGACGAAACAGAGTCGGTGAAGACTCGGAACAAAGTGAAGAAGGTGACTTTGTAAAGTGTTAGGGTTTATGTTCTTCTGCGTTGGTTTTGACACCTCCCCACTTGCCGAATCAAAACGGCTCATTTCTGTCCCTTTATTTTCTCGAAAAATATCTTTTTTTCTGTTTCTTGACCGGACTAAAATCCAAATTACTCGGTTTGACCTCTCGAACCAACCGGTCCGGTCCAGATTTCTCAGAACACGGTTCGTATATTCTAGAGCCCTTATCCGACCGACCATTTTACTTTCTCACACAATCAACGAAGATGTCTTGCTTGGTCTCATCGACTTGCTCACTCGTCCCTTTCGACTCGAGCTTGACTCGGCCTACTCGTTCCACCAAATTGGGCTCTTCAATTTCATGGCAATCTTCGTTCCCTAGACTCTCCATAGAAATCGGCTCCGTTATCTCATCTCCCATTGTCAAGAAGGTAAAACCCTCTTTTTGCGTTGTCTTGTGGACAATCACTGTGTATAGTTCTGTAATTGTTCTGTGTCGTAAAGTTTTGTGCTTTCCTGATTTTGTAGTTTTAGTGTGTGTTCTTGAATGTTGTGCTTTTTGTTTAATTTAAGGTGAAATTTTGTGGTTTGTGGATTTTGAAGTATAATATAGGGTTCTATAAATGAGAGTACGAGTGTGAATTTTGTGGACTTTTTTTGTTTCTTCTCTTCATTTATGCTTGATTCTCTTCAAAGCTTATTTCTTTATCTATTGGGTATTTCAAGATTCATTTTTTTCTCTCTTGTAAATAGCACCCAATGATTCAGATTTCTTTCATTGATTGATTGTTTAGGAGTCTTTTATCCAATCTGCGTGGACTCGAAGATCACGTGGTGAAGCAGCGAAAAGACCCAACAAGAAGTCATGGAAGCAGAGAACGGACATGTACATGAGACCTTTCCTGCTGAATGTGTTCTTCTCCAGGAAGTTCATACACGCCAAAGTGATGCATAGACCAACAAGCAAAGTCATTTCGGTTGCTACCACAAACGCAAGAGATATAAGGACAAATATACCGTCTCTTGTCGATAACGAAGCTTGCAGACTCATCGGTAAGCTCATAGCTGAGCGTTCAAAGGAAGCAGATGTCTATGCCGTGTCTTATGAGCCAAGAAAGGGAGAAAGAATTGAAGGGAAGCTTGGGATTGTGATCGATACGATTAAGGAACACGGCATTGTTTTTGTACCTTGATCCATGACTTGCCATTTGCATTACCAAGAACGTTCTGTGTTTCGTTTTGTTACCTATGCAGCAGAGGGAGAAACCTGATCTCTTTGGTAGAGGATGGTTCAAGAACACAGAGTTGCTCACAAGATGTTCGGTGAATGGCCAATGAGGAGA